GTGTTGTTACAATGCTGCTGCAAACTGCTGAGTTTAACAGCATTAAAATTTGCGTTTGTTGAATGGTTCCAAACTGCTCATTCAGCAAAATTCTCATGTGAGGCTTTGGGGCTGCAGGGCCCTGCATAAACGACCCACCCCCCCCCACACGGATGCATATCCGCATAGATAGATTGTATTACTATTATTGTTGTTATTATTATTACTACACCACTACCACTACTGTTATTACTATTAGTATTATTAGGGCTGTTGCCTATGTCAGAACAATAACATGACCTAACAGGAGTGCTTTGGCTAAATTTGAGATTATTGCCAAATAAATATATTATTGGCAAGTAAATATACAGATATATAGTAATTAGGCTTTTATCGTTATTAATATTATTATGTGTATTATCGTGTTTTCTTTTGAATTAGTCATCTGATTTATATTTTAGATGTGCATGTTTTGTTTGTAAATGCCGGCTTAATTTTGATGGTTTCATAGCCTCATTACTTAGCATAGCTTGGCAGATGACAGATTGGTATCGGGGGGAACTATCGATAGAAATAAAACCAAAGTGACACAAACGCAGTGACAGCAGCGATGAGATCAGACCTGATCTGACTGAATTTTGATTGGTGCAGAAGGCGAGGCTCCGCGGACCGGCAGGAATCCTCTCACGGACCGGCACCAGTTCATGGCCTATAGTTTGAGCAACGCTTTTCTGGAGTGTCTGTTCCATTTCCATAGTTTTACTTGTTTCCTTCATTACCACTTAACCTGCCCCTAGGGCCGCCACACTTAGTCGACGTAGTCGATGACGTCAACACTGAAAATGCGTCAACATTAATATTTTAAATCAACACATTTTATTTTAATGACATTACTGATGATTTCTAAAACAGTTCATAAATATTTTCCTTCTATATCACTATGTAACTATAGAAGTAGTTCAGATTATCACAAAACAAAAAGGTGGTTTGTACACTGCGCAAAGTTTCAATGGCGCACCACAGCGGCACGAGCGCCATGCATGAGCACTTGAAGGAAAAACACACAGGTGGTAGAACAGGTAAAACCACTGTAAGTGTTGCCTTTTTATGTTTATTAAATTATCATTAGTATGGAAAGCATTTTAATATGTATTGTCATTGTAGCTGCTAAATACACTCATTATTAAAGCCATAAAGTTGTCTGCCTGCAGCCTTAGATTTTCTAATAAATAACTGTTTGAAAAAATGTTTAGGCTAAAATCTGGGCTTACTCTATGTTGATTAATGATACCTGTGTGTGTGTGTTCATGCATGTTGGGCTTGTTGTGGCCAGTGTTATCATAAACAGAAATGGACACTAAAAAGAATAATTAATGAAACTGAATAAAAATAAACTATATTTACCAAAAAACATGTTGGATTTTAGACTGAAAAAAGTACCACTATCGTTGTACCTTATTTATCCACAATATTATTGGTGTTGAGCTGTCCCTTTCTTCACTGTCACTTCAATGATTTTTGCTTGCAGTGTGCTCTCCTAATCAAATTTATTTGCACAAAGGGTACAACGAATTTGTACAGAATACTAGCTTTTGGGCATCACAAGAAGCCCCTCACTAATATTTCATACGTACTACTAATATGCTTATCAATTTGTGGGCATAAGTAACTTCCATATGGTGCAGAGAAGCCGGCATCCATTATCGAAGGCCCTGAAATAATATATAGTTTGTTGTCATTAGGCCTGTCGCGATAAACGATAAATCAAGTAACTGCACGATAATTAAAATGAGGTTGATAATTTTCATTTGCATGCTTGTTTGTTGTTTGTCGGCTCTTTTTAGCAAACCGGCTCATTTGGCACAGCTCATCAAGAAGAGCCGGCTCTTTCGGCTCCTAAACGGCTCTTTTTATAAAATCCACCCCTCTCTCGGTTTAACCTGATGCTGATTAGCGTGATCTGATTTGTTAAAAATAAGACGCCGTCTCATGGGCGGGCTTTTTCAGAAGACAACGTGTTCCGGCCACTGTTGTCCTTAATGTTTAGGCAGCTCAAAAACCCGGACAATTCTATAAGTTACATTAATAAAACAGCTCTTGAACAGGAGCCGGCTCCCATCGTTCACTAAAAATAGTCGGCTCAAAGAGCCGTCTCGTTCGCGAATGACACATCACTAGCGTGAACTCTCGTGTCAGTGGGCTCTTTGCACGTCAGCTTCCGCGTTCATGGAAATGCGGCTCGCTCATTTTCGGTCTGTGAAAAACGGCATTGGTTTATACATGCCGTTTAGAAGACTAGCCCAAACTTATGATCAACGACGTACATCGCTTTTGTAAATCCTTCTCCAAAGTACCAACGAGTAAATTAGAGAAGGGCCTTAAGATGTTTGCCTTGTCTTACATCCACGGATACGAAGAGGAGTCTTATTCGTTCAACTTTGTGGCTGGCGTTAGCTATAGCTTACGCTAATAGACGTTACTCCCGGAGAGAGATAGTGTATGCATGTGGTAATGAAGTAACTATGAACATCCCCAGTCATTCTAGCGGAGAATGTTTAACTTAGCATGTTTTATATGTGCTTAAGTACACGTTGCGTTATTCTGTGTTTGCTATTTTTAGTGTCAAACAGAAACACGGGAACAGGAGAGGTTGCTGCTTCAGATCCATGAAGAAGCACGACAAACATCAAAGTGTAAAAGTATGGCAGCACTGGTAATTTGTCAGAGTTCTAATTAAAGCTGTTCAATATTCAGATTTGTGTTACATAGACTCAAAGTTTATGATAAACCGCCTTAAAGAGAGCCACGGAGATGCTGCAGCGAACACTTTCAGACAATGTGAAAATACGCTGTATAAATAAAATTGAATATTTAGGTACAGTATTATACTGTATTATATAGTGTATTTTAATTATACACAGTTCAGTAATTTAATTTGTACAGTACTGTAATCTGAAAAGTGTTTGAAATGATTGTACTATATTTTGCAATGGACGCTGTCCGTTTTATTACCTATTATTCATGTAAGAAATATACACGTGTCAGACAGACATGAAGAAGAAAAAATCAGTTATGATGATCATCCGATTATAAATTATCAATTTCGCCCAGGCAGATGTGTTCACTATAAGCGGTAAAGTAAAATATGGCAATAAATTATATGAAATGTGAGTATAAATATGTTGTACTTGCCGAATTTCCCCAGAAGAAACCAAGAAATTTAAAAGTCGATTGTATTTTGAGGACGTGGTGCACTTAGGAAATAATTTTTTTGTTTTTTTAGCTTCTGAAACAAGTTTATCCTTTCTTGCGCTCATAGTTACTCAAACTGGAAGCAAGTGAGCCGTATTTCACACTGGCGAAATAATCACAATAATTCCTGGGACAATTTATCGTCCAGCAAAATTTGTTATTGTGATAGGTCTAGTGGTCATCAACATAAAGTTAACCTGAATGAGAAAATCAATTTGATTTTCTGGAGGAAAATTAATCGTTTAGTCATCAGTAAAATAGTTGATAGATTAATCGATATAAATTTAGTCATTCCTGGCAGCCCTACCTGCAACAAGTTGAGAGCAGAAAAAGAATCTAACTTCCAAAGATACTGACATTTTCTTCGCATGCTCACTGCATTTACCTGTACGAGTATAACATGAATGTTGACACCGGAGCTTCACTCACCATATTTGTTCATATTCAAAATCCAGGAAATGCAATGGAATTTGCTCCAATAGCTCAGTGATTTCTTACAGTCTTCAATAAGATACACAACTGAGGCACAACCTCACCACCATAATGCACACAAACAAGTCCCTATGAGAGAGTAAATTGTGCAAAGTGCATTTCAGTTAGGTTGGTGGTCGAAAACTAGTCTTTCGGGAGGACAACTTCCAATCACCTCCTCCCATCCGTCGATAAACCATAACGACCCCCCCCTCCCCCCTTGGCAAAATTGACTGTCGATATAGCTCACCAGAGTGTTTTCTATCTCTCTCTGAAGGTTGGAAAACACTGCTCTAGATCACTGACTATTGTTTTGCAAAACACTTAAGGTCAACTGGGCTAACCAGCAGACCATGTGTGTATGTCTTTCATGATAAGTATACGGGCAGACTCCGATCATGGTACTGCAACGTGAAAAACACCGTATGACCACAACAACCGGCCTAACATGCACGGCGGCCGGGCCGGGCCCACTCTGCGACACGCCATTTCACTACCCGCTCCCAGAAACGACCCACACCCCGCCGACCGCGCAAACCAGGAGGCGCCTTGGCTCCACGTTTCAAGCGACACGCCTGGTGCCACGGCTCGGTTATTAAAAGGTTTTTATCGCCTTGGCGTCCTGGAAACAGCACGGGGTGCCGAGCCTAAAGCGAGGCCTCGACCAAAAGCACTAACGTTACTAGGCAGTTATGCGCCACCATTAAGTGTTTTTGTGTGATCTTGGGCTAGGCAGAACAAGACATTATTTAAAAGGGGGATTATTCACAACCGCCGTGAAACATGTCAACCGCCGTGTTCAACCTATATTGATAAGGTTACACCTATAATCCAATTTCGCCAGCTCCAGACGGAGCCCGACGATAGTGAACACGCCTTAAGACAGTTATACATACTTTTGGACACCCAGTCAGCTGCGCACAGACTTGTGATAAGTAAAATTTAGCGGAACAAAGAGTCTAAATGAGAAATTCCATAAACTTTACTGAGCCTGCCGGTGATTTCGAAATATCGACCTACGGGTGCAACTTATCCTCCGACATCAAGACGCCCATACTACGGACGAGCCAGGCCGGCTTGGCTGGGAGTCAGACAGCGACATTACGCCAAAGGAATAGCAACTGGCGTTCCCCTGTAGACAAAAACCACAAAACGAGTACAGAAAGCTCGCGAAACTGCCGGGCAGCAGACAGATTTTGGGCCTCAACTACAGAGAGCCCCATGACGCGTTCTCTTATTGATAGCTAGCTGGCTACATAAACAAGCAAATATGCCAACGACACAGGGGTTCAACTTACCCTTCTAGCGTTGTTTCAAAAGAAGAATAGTAGGAAAGTGCTTAATGCTCTATACGTATACCGACTCGTCTAAATATTAACAGCAGCTCCAAAATTAATTAGATAACTAACGAAATCCCTTTTAAAAATCCTCTTGAGCAGTGCTCTTTAGCTGTATCTTCCAGCACTGGGCTCTGCAAAATGGCTGTCTTTCCTGCACGCACCATCTAAACCTCAAATGAGGGGGTTGTCTCATCTGGAAAAAAAAAATAAATTCACCAAAATTATGTGCTGCAACTCAAAATGCAATTTCTTTTATTTTATAATATATATATGCTCGGTAATTTATTAAATTTAAATTATCGGCCTGTTCTATGTTAATTCTGTAGTTACTGAGAAAAAAACACCCCCAGAGTTTCTTAATGGTAAATCCCTTAACAGTTCCTGCAGAGTGGAAAAGGGTGAGATCGCGTAGTGGCTTACCTTGTGGCAGTTTTTTTGTATATATGCTTCGACAGTACTTTGCCTGCTTGTTAATTTTAAAACAGTATTTTGTGCAAGCATAATTATTTTCAGCGGTGCATATTTTAAACATGTCAACAGTTTATATAGCAGGAAAAATATGTATGTGGTTCTATTTATGCATGTCGCTTGTACTGCATAATATTTCATATGCTGTGTTTTTACTGGTCAGATTGAAGTTTAATTGTGCATTACAGTGCCAGCAATTAATTGATGGACATCTTTTAACCGACCAAAATTTGTCTTAACTACTGTGTCGCGTTCAAGCGATGTAGATGTCACCTAATCTAAAAAATCCTCACACTTAAATAGGGCGTATACTAGTCTGTCACCAGAAACAGAACTCTTCCTCTCCTTTGCAAATAAACTGGGTAGTTATACAATTTTATTTCACTTACACGTTTTGGATTAGCTATTTAGAAAACAAATGCACCAACACTTAGTGGTTTGCACTAAAATCTGGTATGGGACATTTTTCACAATTTTGTAGTCATTCTCATTTTATTAAACAGTCCTTCACGTTGGGAATAACTGAAACGAGAATAAGTTGTATATTATGACTGAGGACAGTTGCCATTTTAGGTGCTACTTTTGACTTTGCAGATCTCAGCATATATTGACTACATGGGTCACGTGGAAGGGAGTGGGTGGGTAACAAGGAAGAATCCTAAGTTAATAAGTTGACAATGACAATAAGCAAGACGTTTCTTATAAATGCCACAATGCGTTTATCAAAATTCATACAATCATCATTCCACACATAGTAGGCATTACATACAAAAAATGTTTCGGTTTCAGTGCTGGACTTGCCTCGCAGGTATGCAACGCGATTATTTGATGGTGATACTGCCACCACATTGGTATTTCGGCTCCAGTGAAGTCTCATTTTAAACATTTTACTCTTTGGTTCTTTTGTATATCCCAACATGGGTAGTTTCTGCATTAAGCATGATCGTTCTAGTCTTGTCTCGCTGGTGGTGCTTCCACTTCCTAGTAATGCTGTTCAGCCTGCTGTGTGTCTCACGGACCCTTTAAATATGAGTTGTAGACAGGGATGGATAAGTACGCATTCACCTTAAAAACGATTGTATGTAAAAGCCAAAATGCGTGCTTATTTTATGTGCATTTGCGCTGCTATGCATTTAAATCTTTATATGCTAACTCTGCTTCATTTGCGATATACATGTTAAAATGCAAGGTATTTTTTTGTCATAGCAGCGCAAAGGCACATAATATAAGTACGCATTTGCGCTTTTATAAACAATCGATTGCAGGTATCGTTTTAGGTGCATTCGTACTTGCATACCAGTTATGTCCATCATACCTGGTTATAGAAATGGGTTATTTTGCCTGCCAGTGACAGGTTTGGCAGAATTAACAGTGACACAGCAAATCATAAAGTAGTAATGACAGGCAGCAGACAATGACAATACAGGACGCACGACTTACAAAAATGTCTTAGATAAGCACGCACATCACACAAATAAAACACACAGCGCCGATTTGCTGTTAAATTAACAAAGGCAGTGCTCATTAATTAGGCATATTTCCCAGTCTGAAAACTCTTATCTACATTTGTTATTAATCATATAAATGGGAAAAGACATGATGATTTAATCGGCTTAACCCGTCATTTACGGCTATAATTAACCGATGTGCCGTGTATGGCAGGGATAACAGGATGACTCGAGTTGGTAAACATGATGCATTTAATCCTCCGGCCCATGGGGCGGCGAAGGTGAGCGATGCTCCGAGACCGAATGGAAGTCGGAATGATCAGTACAGTCATTTTCTTTCGGGTAGCTCGGATAGAAAGGTGACGGATGTGGATAGCATCGGGTTCTGGGGGATGTTGCGATGTCGGGGGTTTTGGCCAGATTGCTATTTTATCCTACTCTTGGCTACAATGTCGTTATGGAGAAAGTATCATCCAGAAGGTGGTTTGACCGTGTGGATAATACTGTCATTCTCGGAGCGCTTCCCTTTAAATCAATGACAACTGAGGTAAAGTGTATTAAAATGCTCGTGTTGCCTTTTTACTGTATCTGTGGAGTTCCTTCTATCCATTTACGGCTTTGTATATATACTTTATAACATTTTCCCTAAGGCGTTTATACATTTTTAAAATTCATTTAATTCCCAGTTGGTACAGACAGAAAATGTCCGTGGGGTGATCACTATGAATGAAGAATATGAAACAAAATATTTCTGCAACTCAGCTGAGGTAAGGCAAGCAGTGGTTTATTCTCAAGTGAAAAAAATAGTGGCCAAACTCTTGATATTTCCAGGCAGTTGAATGATCTAACAGTTGTATAATAATGGGATTAGTTATCATCTGACCCCCCCCCCCTTTTTTTTTTTTTAAACCAAAGAAGAATTCGTCTCCATTTATAACTGGGCTTCATTTCCGTTTTTGAAATAGCGGTGCTTATAAGTACTAAGGAAACAGAAAACAATATGAAGTGACCTTGAACCACATTTCTTCCATATATTTTTATATGTGGCTTGCGTTGTGTATGAGGCACCTCTTGGGGGGTTATAAGAACACATCAGCCAATGTATAAGAAGCATGCCAGAAATGCTAGTGACCCCACACCAGCTGTGCCTGTTGCCTGCAGGAGTGGCGATCAGTTGGTGTTGAACAGCTTCGCCTCAGTACAGTGGATCTGACTGGGGTGCCCAGTTTGCCGAACTTGCAGAAGGGGGTGGATTTTGTGTTTCAGCACAGGGAGGAAGGAACCAGTGTGTACGTCCACTGCAAAGCTGGCCGTTCTCGAAGCGCAACGTTAGTTGCAGCTTACCTCATCCGGGTAAGTCCTCCACTAAAAGGCATCCAATAATGCTCAGTCCAGTGAGAGAATATCCCACCTTTTTTGTTCAGGTGTTCGCAAGGGGATGACTTGTGACCGTCTGGGTTTCTGTCATGCCCACAGCTACACAAGTGGAATCCTGAGGAGGCTTGTGGGATGCTGCGATCTATCCGTCCACACGTGCTGATCCGCAGGACTCAGATGGAGGTCCTGTGGCAGTACCACAGGCAGGTCTGTGCAGGCTGATCATGCCATACGACACACGGATCCCCGTCAAGCAGTGGCAGAAATGTTCACAGAATGAAAAGCTGTCATCGGCAAATACCACACTGTGGCCTGGAAATACGTGCAAGTTAGAGACTGACTGTGAATTGCAAGTCGCCCAACATAGTCTTTGTGCCATTTTCAGAGCAATTTAAATTCATTATGAGATCCAGGGTTAGATCAAATTGCAAAACTGCAGTGGCATAGCGGTCTAAACTAAGTAAAAATGCTAAATCCTGCTTTTTATTGTGAGATGGTTGACATAAATTTGATTCATATTTAACTGAATGGGTAAGTGTTTGTTTGTTTTGTTCATGCAGGCCTGTTGAATTCCTTTAGGATTTTCACACCTCTTTTTCTGGTGATTTTAGCTATTTCTGTGGGATCCACAGGTGTTCTGCTGATTGCTGTGTGAATCAGTAGCCTCAGATTAATAACAATATTTTAATAAGTGACATAGGGCCCTTTTTGTTTTGTTTTGTTTTTCATTTCCCAGGTTGCACAAGTAGAACATAATTGTTTTTTCATGGTGTCCTGTCAAAATAAGCCTTAAAGAAGATAGTATCACACATGCAGATCTGCATGCTTTTGCCAAATGTTGATGATGATAATAGTAATAATAATTACACTTTATTGATCCCTTTGGGGAAATTCTCTTTTTGCCTACTCTGTTAACAGTGTTTATTATGAAATATAAGTCTTCTGGGAAGATTAAGGATGAGTGATGTTATTTCATAATGCTGAGGCCTTTTAATTTTGGATCTGCTTTACATGAAATGTCGTGCAAAATAACAGTGATGACCAGGAAAATTATAGCAGGACTAAAACTTAACTGTTTTAATGAATTCTGCTGGTAGCAGAGTCCTTAGTTTAAATCACAGTTGGACTTGAAACTGAATTTTATGAATGAGGTTTTGTTTTTTGCAGCTTTGACTTTCAAAATCTTGACCTTGTAAACATTAAATCAATGGGTTGTGTACCAATGTAAAATGAGTATATGAGGTTTGTATATATCTATGTATATATGAGGTTTAGTGTATATGATAAACCCTTGTTTTATTTTTGGATGTGATTACTTTTGCCTAATTTACAAATAATCTTATTTGGGTTGTATTGTGTTTTTCATAATTTATCCGATTGCATATAGAGAAACCTAAAGATGTGACTGTTTCCTGCTGCTACAGTGCCCTCCACAATAATTGGCACCCTTTGTAAAGATTTGTAAAAAGGATTAGAAAAAAATCTATTAAAAGAAAAAAAAAACATTCATCAGGAGTTATTTTCAACAAAAACATGTTCCACAATTACTGGCACCCCTGGAAATTATAGAGAACACAATGTAACTGAAACATGTTTCTCATGTACATCTTTGAGTTGGAGTGTGTAGGAATGTTCAAGCTGTAATCCATGATTCCCTGGATAACTGGAGTACAAATATGAGATGACACAGAGGCCAAATTTCCTTTGTCATCTATCGACATGGGAAACATAAGAGAACATACACACCAAATGAGGGAGAAGTGTTTTGACTTCATAAGTCAGGGAATGGGCATGAAAAAATCTCGCCTGAAAATACCCATTTATACTGCTAGGGCAGGGGTCACCAACCTGGGCCCCCTAAGGACCACATGAGTCGCCCGCGGACCTGTTCTAAAAATAGCACAACTCACCAGGGAGCAGCGTCTAAAATTTAATTTTATCCTGTTGCTATTCTTCTTTAATCATATTTGCATTTATATAGATTTGAAAATGACAATGTCTAAAAAAAAAAAAGCATTAAAAATATGTTTATTATATTTGAAGTTTAGATAAGTTTAGGAGGGTGTTTCAAACTGGTAGCCCTTCGTATGGCTCAGTACCCGTGAAGTAGCTCTCAGTTTCAAAAAGGTTGGTGACCCCTGTGCTAGGGCAATAATAGAAAGCAAGACATCAACTGGAACTGTTACAAACCTGCCTGGATGAAGGCCCAAGTTTATTTTGCCCCCAAATACAGTGCCAAATGTAGATGCTTTGTTCCCCGACCCACTTAGTTATTACTGCTGCCTTATGGCATGGTGCTCCATCATGATGGAAAAGGTGTTGTTCATCACCAAACTGTTCTTGGATGGTTGGGAGAAGATGCTTTCGGAGGATGTTTTTCTTTATTTATGGCTGTGTTCTTAGGCAAAATTGTGGAGTGAGCCCATTCCCATGGCTGAGATGCAACTCCACATATGAATGGTCTCAGGATATTTTACTGTTAGCATGGCACAGGACAGATGGTAGCACTCAACTTTTCTTCTCCAGACAATCGGAAAGGGGATTCATCAGAGAAAATGACTTTACCCCAGTCCTCAGCAGTTCAATCCTTGTACCTTTTGCAGAATGTCAGTCTGTCCCTAATGTTTTTCTTGGAGAGAGTGGAACTTCTTTGCTGCCCTTCTTGACACCAGGCCATCCTCCAAAAGTCTTCGCCTCAATGTGCTTGCAGATACACTCACACCTGCCTGCTGCCATGCCTGAGCAAGTTCTGCACTCGAAGTGCCCCGATCCCACAGCTGAATCAACTTTAGAAGCCGGTTCTCGCGCTTTATAGACTTTCTTGGGTGGTTTTTCTTAAGTTTTTTAAGTTCATTTTCATGGCAAAGAGGGACTTTGCATTTGACTGCAATTCATCTGATCACTCTTCATAACATTCTGGAGTATATTCAAATTGACATCATAAAAAATGATGCAGCAGTGAAAAATAATTTGTGAAAATTAATATTTGTCTCATATTTCTCAAAACGTTTGGCCACGGCTGTAGTTGGTATTTATCTTGCCAACACCCACAGCTGGTCCTTGCAACAAGTCACATTTCATGTTACCTTTTCTAATTTTTCTTTAACAAACAGCAGCAACTTTTTCATGGCTGGGCCGTAAGCGCCGTACAATAGGGGGCGATATTCGCCCGTCAGTCATATGCGGCATGAATCCACAGGAAGCGCCGTAACCTTGTGTTGCAGTACTTCTTCCGGTTAAGTATGGCGTCCTCTCTGCTTCGATTCTTTCGTGGAGGGTTTAACACATCCTCTAACAGTAAGTATATAGCAGGAACCTGCTTATTTTAGTTGTTCTGGGGTATATTTTGGAGGGCTCTTTGCATTCATTTATACAGTTACATCATCGTTTGACTTAAAAGGTATACTTTAAAGGCATTTGATCTACTGCCGTCTCGCTTGTCAATTGACCTTCTGCATGATCCCAGCTCTCCTCTGCATATATGTATACGAGGTGGCTATAATTGCAGCATTATAGTTATATTTACAGGATAGTTATGATCGTTTTATGATATATTTTAACCTAACCGGAGTCAATGTTCTACCTTATAGTTGTCAATCGAAGATTGGCGATCGGGCTTGCGAGGTCTGAGACCACAGCAGCGGAGACGAGACGTGAGTATGATGTTAGCATAAATAACAGCTTACTGTTTATTTAAGTAATGTGTAGTTGCACACAACTGTATATTTATGAGTGCCTACGGATGACGGTCTTTAAAAGTCTTTAACTTAACTTTGTACAAGCATTGGATAATATTAAAATTACTTTGTAGAAGGTGATTGCATTTCAACAGTTCAACAAACGACTTTTGCATTATCATTTTTGATTTGGATGAAATTTCGCGTGTGAAGTGAGTCACCTATACTTTCCAAAGTTCTGAAGTGTCTTTTATCTTTAAAAAATCTCTGCGATATTGCGCCGTTTCTACAGCTCAGGTAGTAAAAGATGAAAATTTAGAGTGGTTATGGCTACATGGCTCAGCTGTAGCTCGTTGGAATGGTGAAATTACACTTGTGCACAAGTCTTTCCGTCCGTGTCAATGTATTAATTCCTTTCATTGTGCATACCGAAACGAAAATAATGTACCTTACGGTACACGACAAATACATGTGCTGTTATGCTCCTAATGCAATTTTATGTGTATGATCATAAAAATCGGCTTGTTAGAGCTTTTCTTTCATAACCAAACGTAGTGTAAAAATGTAGTGGGTGAAATGAATTTTTATCTTAGAAGTAAACTTGCACTTATGCAAACGTTAAATTTAACCATACCATGGAAATGTGGGATTTCCAACAAGCTATAGTTGACCCATGTAGCTGTAATAGTAAAAAATTACAGCTCATAAGAAAGCACTCTGAATGACCATTTTTTGCTACCCTGGGTGTACAAAAGGTGTTATGTTACAAAGGGAATTTTATTAATAAAAAACCTGAGTCCTGGGATGTATGTGGAATTTACAGGCCATATTTCATCAAAATCATGGTGATACAAAAACTTTTTTGAAAATTTATTGAATTTAAATGGAATGCCCCTTATAATAACGGCCCAGCGTGCACTGTCGTCTGACTGATATTTGCTGAAGATTCTTTTCAACGTAGCATGTAATGTCCTTATGCTCATCTTCTCCTCTCTGATTCAGCCACCGTAAGGCCCAAGGATGCTGTCACCCACAAGCAGCTCTCAGCTTTTGGGGAATATATTGCGGAAATTCTACCCAAATATGTGCAACAAGTCCAGGTATAATGTAGTTTAAGAAGACCAATGGTTTATATGTATTGGTTTGCTGAGGTGGAAATGTAGCTGGGCTAAATCGACTGGTGAAAAGAATTAAGATAAGGCATAGTGGGTTTTTTAACATGGTAAATGGACTTTGCATCTTTATTTCTTTGGGTGTGCTTATAATGGAAATATTTACTTCACCTAATTTTGTAATTATTCAAATTTTGGTGAAACTAAACTAAGAATTTCATTTTGTAGATGCTACAAATATGAAAATAAATTGCTTGATTCCATTCTAGCCACCGGACATGACAAGTGCAAAATTCGCTTGTGGTAGTGCAGTAAATCTGCGAAGAGTTAATGAGCAATCATTAAAATTGCAAAGCTTCCTAAGTTTTTGCTCAGAAGTAAATTTACTTTGATCTGCAAATTCAAGTGTGGAATGGGTGGGGTTGACCCCTCAATTTCACAGAAGTGCAGTGGAAGAAGATGTTTTATGTATACACATTTGCATTATTATAACAACGTTTTTTAATAATAAAAAAAAAGATCACTTCTGGGAGAAAATGCATTTGTGCTGTTATGACAAAAAATGACCCATTATACCGCTAATGTGTATCAGTTATGTCAATCCCTGTTTCTAATACATTGCTAGCTAGCATGATTCTCATGTTTCTTGCCACATGTTATTTTCAAAGGCAACACTATTTCCATCAACACCATTCAGGAACTTCCGGCGCCGTCCTGGACGGCAGCCTGTCTGGCGTGCTCTCTGCATTTTGCGTTGCTTTTCTTCTTTCTGTTTACTGTCTTATCTTTATTCCTGTACAATCAATCAATTGATTACTTTTATTAACAGACTCAGGTCCATAGATACACGCACAAAAAAGGACAGATAAATGCGAAAACACATATGAAGAAAATCAATTGACATACAAACATCTCAGCCAATACACCCTCAGTCTATATCTTATCTTATTTATCAGCTGAATGAAAATATCGCAGTATACCCGAACTGTCGTGAAATACCATATTATCTGATCATGCCCCTTTTTGCTCTGCTCTGTGAATACACTGGATATTTTTTTTCACTAGTGTGACCACACCTTTAATAGGTACAGTACTCCTTGGACAAAAGTATTTAATCAGGTACTGAAATACACCTTGTGGTGCAACCTGGACACATCTTCAGTGATGTAACCGGGGTCACAGGGTGTTTCGGGTCTTACATCAGACACCCTCACCCGGGTGACCCAGCCGAGGGTGATCAGGCCCCGACTTGTGTCCAGGTAGCGCACTACGCCACCTGCTAGTTATTTTACCATCATTGATATAAACACGCAGTAATTTTTACAAGCGATACTTTGTTTTTATTTTAGGTTTATTTTGTCTGGATGATTAAAACTAATCATAAAGTTGCAGTCCTGTTGATACTTCAGTGTCTTACAAGTCAGAATCATTTTTTTCCAGTCCAAAACATAATTGTCATTATCCCTGAAGTGTGTCTAACGTGAAAAACCTGTCGAGTCGGCCGGCACAGTGTGTGATGGCACGTGCAGTTTTCACATTGCAAGGACTGTGAAAGTCAGTTGGGTTGAGACCAATAAGTTTCACTAAAAGTTTCACTCTGTCATTGGAAACAAAACTTAGCAAGCTTTGCAATTTTAATGATTGCTCATTTTCAACATTACCCGATGTTAAAAATCAGTCTGAAGTTTACTGCTGCTGCTTTTTGCACAAGTTCTGCATGCGCTCTTCAAACCAGTCGTTTTTGTTGCTGCTGTTAGATATTGTGAGAAATTTAACAAAGAAGTGGTGAGGAGCAAAGCTAACAAGGATTGGTTATTAAAAACACATTTGTCTTCCACTGTATGCAGATATTTTGGATTCCGCAGAGATATTGTGCAAACGCAAGTGTCACTGCTTTATGTCTTAGCTCATCTCATCTCACCACCATCAACTTATTTGACTCTAGTTAAATTTCCATAGACATAATTTATAGCTATAATTTATTTTGGGTAAATTTTCAATTCCTTTTTAGTTAATAAAAATGACAGTATTTTTAGCGAAAATATCAAATATCAGTGTTTTTTTTTCTGTGCAATTATGTTGAGATAATGGAGATCCAGGTCAGTCAGACTTGTGAGTGAAGTGTTCCCTGCTTCTCAATGTGAAACTGCAGCCTATTTATTTCAAGGTGACGTGTTTCAATGAGCTGGAGGTGATGATTCACCCAGATGGTGTCATCCCAGTGCTGACCTTCTTGCGGGACCACACCAACGCCCAGTTCAAGAACATGGCAGACCTTACTGCTGTTGATGTGCCAACTCGCCAGAATCGCTTTGAGGTACCATGTCCTTCCTCCTTGCTGATGACTTTTTCATGACAAATAGTCACAATTATAATGTACAATATGTCTTGAAGCCTTCTTCATTACTGAATATACTCTGGCCACTTTATTAGGCACACTTAGCTAGTAACAGTAAGGACCCACTTTTGCCTCCAGAACCAGTTATAACAATAATAATAGTAGATACTTTATTGATCCCTGTGGGTATATTCTCTTTATGCCTTCCCTAACTTGCTTTCTGTGGGTGAAAGTAAGCTTGCCGCGAAGGGCAGCCACCCAGGGAGCTGGTGGGTTAAGGGCCTTGCTGAAGGACCTGCAGATGTTGAGGTTGGGCTTGAACCAGCAACCTTCCAATCACAGGCACAGAGGCTTAACCTACTGAGTCAAACACTGGCCCATAGGGTAGAACAGTTGTGCATTCAGTGATGCACTTCTGCGTGCCAAGCTGAGCATTATATTCTCTGGATGGGACTCAGAAGGAACTTGACAGATAACTCAAACCATAATTCAAAAAGTCAATGTTTTCTGTAGATGCTTGTCTCATTTAGTGTCACGGGGGAGGGGTCTGGAGCCTATGGGCCCAAGGCAAGGAACAACCCATTATGGGGCGCCAACCCATCACAGGGCTTACTCGCACATCATTCACTCACCTGCAGGCATTTTGGTAATTCTACTTCACCTAAACATACTTTTGGACTGTGGGGGTGGGTGGGGGGGGGAAGCCAGAGTACCTATAGGAAACCCCATGACAACACAGGGAGAACATGCAAACTCCACACCCAAGGAGTCATGGTGGAGGTTCAAACCCAGATCTCCGATGAGTGAGGCACCGGTGCTGACAACTGCACCACCGTGCCGCCCTTAGTCACCATGGAGTTGTCACCTTAACCTCATTGAAGGTCTTTGGGATGTGATGAAGGAGGCTTTATGGAGTTGTTCAACCTACTTGTCAATACAGGATCTCGGTGAGAAATGAATGCAATTCTGGATGAAAATAAAGGGTGAGATGTTGCATAAGCGTGCGGAAACAATGCCATGACAAATGTCCGCCATAATTAAAGCTAAAGGTGGTCTAACGAAAAATTCAAATGACGATTTTTCTTTTTGGCCGGGCAGTGTATGTATTCTTAGCAGTCCAGTAACCGGTCAGTGAAATTTATTGTTGGGGAGTTTAGAGCTGGGCTTTTAATGAGGATGTTTTTGAGGGGTGTGGAGAGTGTGTAGGGTAGACTTTGACGGTAATATTTTTAGTATACAAGTAGTTCCCTGGTTAAGAACATCCAACTTGCAGTCGACTGAACTTACAAATGGATTGCCATAAAGCCTGTAGTATTAAAAATTCAAGTTAAATAAAATAGTTCATAATAATGAATGCATACACTACTTTGTAGCGCTCATAATTGTATGGCTTCAGCAGCTTGTTGGTTTGAGGTACAGTATGTAGCTACTTTTATTAATGGTGTATTATTATTCTTGCAACTTACCCACAAATTCAACATAAAGACAGACTTGGAGAACAGATCTTGTTTGTAACCTGGGGACTGTCTGTACTGCGGTATTTCCTTCAGTATTTCCTCACTTGGCAGAATTAATCTTGGGGGAATTTTTAATGGTGTCACTTAGCTGTAGTCCTTGTCAGCACATGAAACAAATAGCACAAATCTGGTGAACCTAGTAATTACATTAAAACAAGTCACACAAAATTGGGCTTTTAATAAATATTATTTGTAGAGTTGGGGAGAGTGTGTATGGTAGGTTTGGGTGGTATCATAGTAATATTTTTCAGTATACTGTAGCTTTCCAGTAGTCTCCTTCAGCAATATTTATCCTGGTTGGATCCCCCCTCCCCAAATACCTGAAGTGTGGCTGTTTCTGAGATGCTGGAACCACCATGTATGGCACCAACAATCTCTTCATGCTCAAAATTGCCTAGATGAGGTATTTTAGTCATTTCTTTGCTTATTGGAGCAGTAAGTGAACCTGCTGACCCTGTTTGGGTGCTGTTTCTCTTCACCGTTTGCATTAACCAGCAGGTGTAGCTAATAAAGACACACAGATGGCCTGTAAAACAAATGGATAGCAAGACTTGCTGCTTAAAAATACTGGTAACTTTAGCAACAATTGGTTTATAAATCTGTTTGCTTGCCTGCCTGGTGTAACTTGAAGTGCTTTTGTGCTGCTTAAATGGGCACAGATTGTGTACAACCTCCTATCGCTGCGCTACAACTCCCGCATCCGTGTGAAGACCTACACAGATGAGCTGACCCCTGTGGACTCATCTGTCTCCGTTCACCAGGCTGCCAACTGGTATGAGCGTGAGGTAAGTGTTCAGCTTCTTATAGGACAGCGCACTGTAGTCTTAATGTAATATCCAGACAGGCATTAATATGTGTAGTTTTATTTTGTTTAATTTGTTACTGATTAATGTATTTAGCTAGCAGAGTTAGTTAATATGCCAGTATTAATGACAACTGGTGTTTTGAATTGTAGGAAGTTATTAGACCCAGCTCTGCTTTTTTTACATTTAGTTTTTTGATCATTCAGATGTCATCGATGATGATTCAGTGAAGGGTTCAGTGGCATCTTGGTCCTTGATATTTCTGTTACAAGAATGTCTCAAATCAGGAAGTCCACTTGTAGTGAGAAAATAGAAGTGACCCGTCTGTGTGATTGTTCTTCAGGTGTGGGACATGTACGGGGTTTTCTTTGCAAACCATCCAGACTTGAGAAGGATCCTCACTGATTACGGGTTTGAAGGGCATCCCTTCAGAAAGGATTTCCCCCTGTCAGGATACGTGGAAGTGAGTCAAGCATATGGTCCTGATATATCTCTGCCAATATTAGCCCATGTGGGTGGAAGTCATGTGCAGTGTATTTTGAAGAGTAAGAAGTACCTTATAGGATAATTGACAGAAACTTGATGAAAGCATAATACGTTGTTAATAAGAATGAAGCTGTACTAACGCTGTGTGATACCATACCATTTGGACGGTATTGAGTAGATGTCTACATGTTGCCAAGGTTCAGGGCTAGCACCATAGGTTCCTTGTTAGCAGGGTGTCAACTTCTGACTGCAGTATGTGGTTGACCTTCTAGTCCGCCAACTCTTGAACCCCGCTACCCCTGCCCCCCCCCGCTACCCCTGCCCCCCCCGCTACCCCTGCATCCAATCTCCAAATAGGCTGATCGCAGATGTTGACTGCCTCGGGTGCCACCTTCCTGCAGGTGCGGTACGATGATGAGGTGAAACGTGTCGTGGCAGAGCCTGTGGAGCTGTCCCAGGAGTTCCGGAAGTTCGACCTGAACAGTCCCTGGGAGGTGTTCCCAGCTTATCGCCAGGACGTGGACACTGGCAAGCTGGAGGCTGGAGATAACAAACCGGAAAGCAAATGATTCTGTTTGACTGCCGTTCTCAACTTTAACGTCAAACCATAAAAAAAGGGTACATGGTTCTCCCTGCTATCTATGTAAATAAAGTGGATAATATGAAAGTGTCTGTTTCTTTAATGAAAGAATCTGTAGAAATGTTAATTGGTTGCATAGTGTGAATAAAAACATTTTAAAGTTCTCTCCATTCATATATAGACTGAAGCCCAGTGGTTTACAGGAGGTTAAGATGTGTTAATTTGGCATCACATCTACCTGAAATGTGGGTTATATGAAGACCATTTAGAATGATTGCATTTTCCTTGTGTCATTTGTTCGGGCCCCTTTAACGTTTTTGTGTGTAATAACTGCTTTAACAGAACCTTGCGTCTTTTCATGCTTTAATCTGAGTCACGGAAAAATGTGTGGTATTTTTACTGGGAAGCTCCGAAGGACTTGGCGAAGTAAGTGAAAGGGAGGCTGGGGGAGCGCAGGCACGGCGGGGCTTGGGTGTTTCTGCATAGCTTGCCGCAGAATGTGGGTGAAGACGCTGCTCCTGCTTTGCGCGTGGGTCTCCTTCAGTGTCTGTGGGATTGTTGGCCCTCAGAAGAACACAGGTGAGGTTTTTTAATGGCTGCAAATTGTGGATATCCCCAGCAGGCATTTAACTGTGCAACAGATGTGCGATATTGTTTAAAACTCTCAAAATTTTTGTCTGGACATAATTTACTTGTGACTTACGATGCTTAACTGTACAATAAATATAAATTTTGTTCTTATTATGACATTTTTAACTTTTAAGCATGATTTTTTTTCTCAGTTTAAATGGTTTCCTGATAGACTATAAGTAGCTTATAGACTACACAAAATATTTACAGAATGATAAACTAAAGGCTGTTAAAGTGTACTGTAAGACAATTATATGGCATTTCTTGCAGTTCAGATGTATTGTGCTATTTTTGATTTTTTTTTAAACCCTGCTTTATCAGTATTTGTGCAAGAAGTTACATGTGTAGGGCTAACTTAACATGCTAATATTGTATGGTGCCATGCAGGACCACTGGCCACTGACTTAAGTCAAAAACCTAGTAAGAACTATATAGATATGCTTTCTTATAAAAGAGTCGTTTGGTTTATATAAAGCTAAATTATATAAAGCTCGACTCTTTGCATATTAGCCCACGTCAGTGTGCCTTTATTGTGCATTTGTCACATGACTCTTTCTTACAGATGTCCCAACAATCCTGCATGGAGGTGTTGCTTCCCAGAGCTTTACCAAATCGGGCCATGATGCCGCCTTGGTCTATGAGGTATTTTAAAACCCCTCCCCCTTTCTGTGCAGTAGCCAGGAACAATTCCATTTCTAAACTGGTTTTATTTTAGACTTCTTCCTTAGTCCTTAATTTTCCATTTCAGTATATTAGAAGATGCTTTTGGAGGTGCTCTGAGATAAGCCTTTTTGAGAATGAGCTTTGCCTAGGTGTAATTCAGATCACCTGCCTCGTACAGTTCAGTTGGCATTTGCTTATTTAAATAATTTGAAATATATTCAAAAACTCAATTATAAATTTAAAAAAATATTGCACTGAATTAATTTAATCACAAGTGTAACTTTTTGCCTTTGTCAAATTTATTATTTTTTTATTGCATATATTCTCACTTTTTGATAAAGAAAAAGCAATTCAGTCATGCTTTTTGTCATGCTGTACAGGAATCATTTTCAGTATAACTGCGCAGTGAACCCAGAGTTGCTGCATGTCTGTTTTAGCAGGGGGAACCAAATATGCTGGATTTCAGGAAATAATGTTTCCAACTAACATTTGCGCAAAGATGGCTGAAAGTCATTCAGATACATAATTGCATGTGCATAAACTAATATTATCAGTATTGGGGTCCAAAGTTGCTGCATTTATGTTTGTGCAGGGAAAACCAAATATCCTGCATTTCAGAAAATAATGTTTCCTTCTTACATTTGCACAAAGTATCGAGATGGCTGAAAGTCATTCAGATACATAATTACATGTGCATAAACTACTGTTGTTAGTGTTGAGGTTCAGAGTTGCTGTGTGCCTATTTAGTAGGGGGAGTCTATATTTTAGGTTTAAGGTGATAATGTTTCCCCCTTCAGATCTATACACAAACATATTATTGATGGCTGAAAAAGTGATTCAGCTACACATTTCCATCCATCAATAAAAATTTTGCACACCACTTATTTCCATTTATTTCATAAACTGCTGGTTTTTTTATCCTTGTTAAGTGCTGGAACGTTGAGTGAACAACTATAAGTGAAAATATAAGTTGAATAAAACAAAATTCCTTTATAAGATGGAAAAAGTACGTAACAGTGCATGTCTGACATCCTATTAACTGGTTGTGTGGTGATGGCATAGTGAAATTCTATTATTTAGTGAATTTTAGTAAATGTTAAGTGAGTAACATTCAAAGGTCATGTACACCAGGGGGCAGTGCAAGAAAATCATCTTGATCGGCTCCTGTGTTTCCAGTCTCACTTGTTTGTGTGAGGTTGTGACATGAAATGTTGCACACTCTCTGGCACAAACACTAAGTCACTTTTCATAACCACTTGCACTAATAATCTGTTATTTTATTATCTGTTATAATAATCTGTTACTTTGTTTGATTTATTTTGAGCCAGTTGCTCCTCGAGGTCACAAACCTTGACCATTAGTGAGTCCACTAACACATCGCAGATGAAGTCCGACTGGACGCAAACATCCAGAAGGGCAAACATCTTGCAAACACAACACTGAGCTGGCCCCATAATTACCTAACTCACTATGACCCTGTCCTTTACTCCTAGCCCAGTATATTCATATAGCGTATTTTACTTTTAGTTGATTTAATTATCGTATAGTTAATACAATAATGTGCCAAGTACAATAAAACACTAAATTAACACTTGCATTAAAACTGAACTTTTTAAATTATCCTATAGGGTCAGAGATAAAAACCTTTGAAATTAAACTTTTAAAATAACCAAATTATCAATTACTTACCAGGGAACTTCCTACTAAACCACGTTTAAGTAAAGTAAAGCGAATTTCGGCTATGCTATCTGAGAAAAATGTAACTGAGTGTGCAGGATTGGTGTGTCCTCTGAGGAGATACAGTTGTTATACCTACTCAAGGACAACACACTATAGCTTCTACACCAGACCCTCACAGGCATCTTAAGGATGAAGAGGTTATCCCAGTTGTACGTCTGGTGACCAGGCATGGACCAAAATGTGGAAAGAGAGGCTCAGCTTTGTGAGGAAAGTCAGGTACATCACAAGGCTCCTGCAGCTGCTTCTTTACACCCCTGGGAGTGGCTGTAGACACCATATTGCTGAATACATATGGAATACGTTGGCCCCTTTCTTGGAACAATGTTTTTGATCCTTGTGGATGCACATTCAAAATGTATGGACATCTATCCCATGAACACAGCAACTTCGCAAGCTACAATAGAGAAACTCATACAAAGCTTTGGTGTATTTGGTCTACTGCAAATATTAATGTCTGATCATGGGACTTCCTTCACAAGCACAGAGTTTGAGTCATTTATGAAGAGGAATGGTATTCAACACTAGAGACTGGATGAGAGTTCTGCAGGGAGGGGTGGTCCAAGATAGATGAGTCATGTCCTGGGCACGAGTACACTAGCGGATTTCACAATGTTACAGCCTACACTCACTTGAGGCCCATTTTGAAATTTATTACCTGTTTATTTCTGGAATTTTCTAGTCTTTTAGACCACCAAACTGTAGAAAACTGAAACCACAGCTACTGAAATCGCAGATACAGGAGTCCCACTGTATTCAGCAATATCAGGCTAAATTCAATCACCTACAAAAGCAGGCAGTTTCATTTTGGCAGGAGGATCCACTAGACTAATAATGCCATTGTTCACTAGCAGATAACTAAAGGTAACATGTAGTAAGTCAGTGTTGATTATCATAAAAATACTGGGGGACGAACATCTCCAACCCCCCCCCCCCCATTTCCTTCCATCCATCCATCCATAATGAATATTAATTAACCATTAGCCAAAATCTACAGTCAGACAAATGTTGAGATTACTTATACAGTAGTATTCCTACCATTTTCAATGATTGAAACTACATTAAACATATTACCATGTACAGCACACGGCACAATGTGCATAGAGCAGGGATGAGCAACTGCCGCATTAGGCCCCTTTTACCCCCTTTTTTACAGCCTGCAATGCACAAATATTAAATGTATATTTTATAAATTAACAAAATAAAAACATTCTGAATAAATACTAGCACATCATACTGCATGACTACTAGGAGGAGCTGGGAACTGTTACCAGGAGAAATGTAAAACACTACAGGTGAGCAAAATATCCGGTTGAAATGAGAATTCATCCTGAATAATACATTTTTTCTGAAGCCGACTGCCATCCGATAACTGATGAATAGACAGAGCCCAACCCTACTTAGACAGCTCCTGTCCTCAGCATGGTTCCTATTGTGATTAGAAGAAGTATGCCTTTATTGTTACTGTACATGGTAGTACAGCAAAATTAAGATGCAACTCTAAAATAGTGCATAATAAAACATAAATAAATACACATATACATCCTTAAAAAGTTCACATATAACACATGCTATAAAAATGATGACGATTACGTCTCAAAGTACAGAGAAAATGCAGAATAAGGTGCTGAAATAAAGTACTATTTAGAAAGAGGTATTCTTGAGACTTTATCTATGTTTGTGAACATAGGTAACTGCATATGGAAAAAAGTATTTGTGAATCTGTTACTTCTGGATTTGATGGCATGATAACGTCTGCCAGAAGGTAACGACTTTGGTTATGTCGAGATCAAAAATAAGTCGTGATCTCAAGATAACGAAAAGAAAAAAAAAAGTTTATGCATGTCCTCTACAGACTTCCTACAGTCCTACAGTTTATGTACAGTCCTGCTACAACATAACTAATGATTTACTGAAAAATCTGTCATTTTGGCCCTCATTAGTCGAGAAGTAGTCAGCTGTAGTCACCATAGGCTGAGCATGCACGCAGCACAAATACAATGGATTATAGTCTGTGGAGGGGTGTTTTAATGTGAGAGGGGCATATAGAGCTCTTGAAGGAACAAACAGGCGCGCTTCATTCTGTTAGAAAATATTTCATTAAAAGCGATACAATTATGAAATATAATAAGCATTGATAAGTAGTCCAAAGCAATACAAAATTAGGAAATATCATAAGCATTGGTAAGTAGTCCTTCTAATGATTAAAATGCATCAGCAGCTGCAAAGCTATTCACACTCAGACGTGCTATCATCACCCACCTTCACACACAGACCGGGGAGCCCCTTTCAGTACTGGAAGAAGACCAACACGTGAGTCCTGAGAAGTGCCGGGCGATGCGAGCTCTATTCCACGACTGAACTCCGGTCAGTGCTGAGTTCTCCCCCTTCTTTTATACTAAATTAAGAAAGTGACTGTATGCGTGTGGGCAGGGAATGGGCTGGCCAGGCTCACCCCTCCCCTCAAGCAATGCGCTCTCAGTTTTCCAATTCTCATCTAAGTGGAGTGAAACGGCCTGCAGCTACAGAGCATACCTAAGTAACACTTTTTCTTTTAATTTCTAGAAAAATAAGGCAAGCATCCTTGGGAAATGTTCTCTCTTCTTCCCCAAAACCAAGATAAGTGTCTTAGGATGAGATAAGCGTTCCGCAAAACAAGTTATTTGTGAAAAACATGTTATATAAGTGATCAGTGAAAAATTAATGTTTTTATAAGTGATCAGTGAAAAAATGTTTGTGCAGTTCGACCTTGGCACAATAATATTATGGGTGAATCATGGACAACGTATTTGAATCTCGGGATGATTAGTCAATACACGATCAGAATCAATCAATACCTCAATCACCACATATGTATGTCTGCTAGGTGGAGTTGGAGTTACTCCACCGAACCGTGAGTAATGGAGCCAAACAATCACAGCTTCCCAAATCATTACAGTAACAGGAGGACAATGAACATTTTTTTAAATTCTATGCTATGTGGATGACGTGACCAATTACGTAGCTGTGAGTTTGTTTTAATACAGAGGAGGACTGAAAGCAACATGGCTACAGATATCCTACAAAAAGTAAATGTAAGTGAATTTAACCTTGCTGTATAGTTTTATGATAATTTGTCAAATATGTTGTGTAGAAGTGCAAAGAGTTTCTTTTAGATTTGAAAACCAGTTTGACCAATTCACTGAACTGAGCTGATTTGAAAGATGGACTTGTTTATGAATTGGACATCAATATCATTCACT